CCCCAAAACCCCAAAACCCCAAAACCCCAAAACCCCACGGTGATCTCAGCTTGAACTCTACTAGAACAGATTGGAAGTTTAAATATTCCTACTTTAGTCACTGAAGAGGCCAGGTGTCTTTCCTGGGGATTGGAGGTGGGGTGGGGATGGGTGGGATTAGGGGTGAGAGTGGTGAGAGATTTGAGAGGGTGGTGTTGGGGTGGAGATAGAGAGGCTGGGTTAGATAGTTTGGAGGGTTAGAGAACGGTGGGGTTTGTTTTGTAGTGGGAAGTTTGGAATTTTATTTACATGAAAGTCTGTTTTAGGGGATGTGTAATAGCAGTCGGGAGAGAGGAATGTGGTATGATAAAATAGTTTAGTTTGGAAATGAATTAACAGAAATTCATAGTGGTTAAGAATCTGGTTTTACATTTAGATAGTTCACAGTGGTGGAGTGAGCATTAAAAATGTGCGCAGCTATTTATCCATATATAACAGGAGATTTTTGGATGTTCTTAAGGAAACACGCTTGCTCAGAATTTTTAAAGTTCTTCTAAAATTTTATCAGATATTGAAATATTTAAGTTTTTGGTCTTTCTATAAAAATGTAAATCAACTTAATAAGTCTTATTCTCTTAAAAGTTGATTTGATCCGCGCCAGATTAGTGCCTATCTTGTAGAAGGTTAGGCTATTAAAGTTTAATATATCATTATAATCTAGCTTTGCTTATTTTCCTAATTAATCAATAATTGCAAATGAAATCTTCACTTTCTTTCAATAGGTTAAGCCAAATAAACATAAAAATTTCGAAACACAAAATTTAAAAATTTAGTAATAGGAATGAAAGACACCAATTATTATACTTAAAGGATTAGGAGGACAGTTGGAAACTTGGCCTGTAATACCTTAGCTATCACAGTTAAGGTTTATGTTTAATTAAATCATGCTTAAAGACAAGATGACCTACAAGAGAAGCTTTAAATATTGTTGGTATACCTTCTACTACCTTCCTAATGCTCTCTATCCAAATATCTTTTCATGTTTTATTCAAATAATATATATACCAACGTGAGCATATTAATTCCTCAAACTCTTTAAAAATCCAAAAATTCTATTTCATCAATCAGATGTAAACTTTTACACCGGTTTGGGATTGATGAACATTCCTGAACTTATGATTTCATTACATCCAACTTCATGAGGCCATGCTTAGGATAAAATCTTGCGATGTACCATAAGTGTTATAGTACTAGCCACCTAGCCATGAAATTTAAGCTTTCATTTAAACCTATTTCGAGTCTTTTAAAAATGGTAAAAACCTACTGACTCTTATTTCTGAATTTTTAATTCGAAATTTCGAAAATGTTCTGAAAATTAAGACTCTCGTGATCTTAGAAGGCCAGCTTAACTTTGCTGGGCTTAGTTAGGTTTAAGGGTGAAATTTATTTATTATATCGAAAGGGCCTAACCTGTCTGGATTTCAATTAGTTCTTATTTTAATTTTGAATTTGTCTAATCTTGGTGTATTTTTTCTGACCATCATGTCAAAATTAGTCTTGGTAAACCTTAAATTTCTATCAAAGTTTCATATTGAGAAAATAACCGGTGACTTGCCTGGAGGTATAAGAAGAGGAAAATTCAAATAATTTAGGGTAAGGTAAACTCTCACGAAGAAAGATTCCTAAAGACTTTATAACGTTTTGAAGATAAGATAGGTCACTACATTCCTAATCCAGCTAACAAAATATGAAATTATATTTTAAAATTTATATGCTAGTAATGTGCGAATGAAATATTTCAAGAATGTGAAAATCCAAATTTTACCTTCATTACTAAATAGAGGGTAACTCTATCATTATTTGGCAATTAAGAAGGAGAAGGGAAATCTTCAGGGATAGAAGCCTCTACTACGGTTTTATAATAGATTTTATCGTCGATATTCCAAAATCGTGTTTCAGATTAATACTATCAATATTTTCTCATTGTTCGCCATTCTGAGTGGTGAGCTTTCCTAAAAATATGAAAGTTAAGAATATATCCTAACACAAACCATCCCTAAGAACAGAACCCGCTGGCTTATAGGCGATGAGGCGCATGCGCAATATTTCTCATCTTTACACTCTTTCAGAGAATTCTGAATCAGCAACTGGTTGAGGGAAATAGGGTGTTTTCTCCTCCTTATAACTTTTTATGAAAACAACTGACTTGATCACAATAAAGAAATACAGAGAGAAAATCCAAACTGTATGATAAAGTCTCCAAAACTCTAAAAGGAGTTACCAGATGCCATACAGTACTATCGGAGGATGAAGCCGTGGGCATCCACTCCTCCTGACTAGGCTGTAGTAATGGGATTAAATTCGTACTCTCTTTATAACCTTATCCAGATCAATTATTCTGAATTCACTTCATCATTGGCTACATCACCATTGAAATTGTACAAGAAGTTAATAGAAAAATTAACCTTTTACTAATATATCATCTACCAAACTTTTTACACATTTTAAGTGAAGAATAATAAAAAATGTAGATCAACTTTCCCCCTAGATTGTATATTAACTTTAGAAGTAAAAATATTGTCTTTATAATGATTTAGTACTTAATAAAGGCTTGGCTGCCACTATAATGATACTTAGCCGGCCTTTGAAATTACAGTTCAAATTCAGACAAGATTAGTCTCTTGAAATTTTTATACTTGAAAAGAGGGCTTACCTAAGCACTGAACACTATCCACCCATTCTCATCGGAAGAGTTTACTTATTGTATGAGAATAGTGGGAGAAATATATTATGAGGACTCGTAATTTTTAATCCAATATTAATGAGCTCAGTTCATACTAGCTTTCATAAAAACAACTGTTATCCTTGTGAGAAGTCTGCTGAATTAAAATTTAGCTCTAAAGTCAGGTAAGTAGCTTTAAGCTCTTGATAAAGTGTCGGCTTTAGGGGGATCAAAAGTGGAGCAATTTTAGGTAAGAATTTTTCTTAAAATTTCATCAGTTGGTTTACTTAAAATTGTTGTCATTATCAGAATTCTTGGCTGAAGGACTATGAAAATTCTTATAGTTATTTTCCTAAAGTATAGATTACTTTTAGGACTCCACAGTCCTAAGAAAGCCTATCCAAGAGAAGACCTTTTATAATAACCTTCTTAAGCAAATTGATAAAGATACTTCATTCAATCTGTCCAAATAATCCAAAACACTGGGAAGAAATTCTGAGAATTTATATTCTTTTCTGACCTAGAGTGGAGACTATCCGAACCCGACATTATATACACTATTTTCATGTACAAGGTAATATATAATAGGCTCATCTTCTCTAACAGCAGGAGGGAACTAAATACCTCATTTTAACTCTTAGGTATCACTCAAGGCAGGTTTAATTAGTGGTATACTTTACTCTGATTGAATATACAGCTAAATCTCTATTTACTTTATGAAGATTTTAGAATCTTTTTGAACTAATCATAAGCTTAATTCTAATAATCAAGCGAAATGAAGAAAATTTATCACTATTTGGATAGTGAAAATGACAGAAATTTTAGAAATAACATTTTTATTCAGAAATTATTCATGTTTAAGCATATGCTTGTTTCGATTGCCCTTTTGGGTGAATTTTCTCCCTCAGATAGTTCAGCTATAGGGTCTAACTCCAGAATGTGTCCTACAGTGATCTAGGAGTTTCCAAGTCCTCTCAAACTTCTTGTTGCAGGATCCTTTGTATTTTCAGACATATTTGGGGAGCGGCTTTCCAGTAAGTGGTGATTTTTCTTCAGCAATTTCATATTCATAATTTTTAAGAAGCTCAAGAAATCTCATGTTATTTGGAGTAAGTACTCTTTTGACAAGGTGGGCTTGGCTCTTAGTCATACCACAAGTTCAGAATAATCATGAAGAACCAAATTTCTTAGCCTTTTTGGTGGAAGCCCCCTGCATTTGGTTTACAGATGAAGAGTTGGAGGAGCTGCTAATAAGCATGTTTTTATCATTGAACATCTGTGTCATTGTTTTATTTTTATCAAGCTTCATTCATCTTCAAGAATCTCTTTAGTAATATTAAGCATAAAAATGTGCAAAATGGATAGACCAAACACTACATCAACTAACTAAATGTTTGAATTTAAACATTTTTAAATAAAAATCTTGATTTTATTGTAAAAAGGAAGAATCTCCTCTAATAACGTAATGATATGCTAAAATTTGCAACATAATCTTGGTTAATCTATTTCGAACGCAAAGGTGAAAATTATACCTTTCTATTACGCTTCTCCTGCTCGTTTTAGGCTGAGACAAACCCTCTCTTCTTCTATTTTGACTAGTGATATCATCACTGTTAAAAGGGGCTTTGAGGTTAGGTGAAATTGCTTTTTGACATCTTTGATTCCAACTTCTCGGTTCACTAAGAATTGGAGTTGATAAGATCTTCCTTTCATTTGGATTAACTCATAATGAGAAATTCTGGAGACAAGAAGGGTGTTGTTCTTCTGAATAGCCTTCCACACCAATATGACTTGGCATTCCTTCTTCTCTTTGCACCATCTGAAGCGATTGATATGGAAATTTAGGTTGAGATAAATGTGGTTGAGAGTGATACACCGGAATTGGCTCTTCTCTTACTTCTAAGACTCCAAAGTATTCCTCCCCTGTTGGCATCAAAGTTCATGGTACAGCATTCAATGGTGGCAAATTTTGGATGGTGCTAATATGAGAAGGCACCCAGATCTCATTGAGATTAACAAACTCTTCAGGGATTTTCTCTCCATTTAGTTTGTTGATAGTAGTATTAAATGACATTAGATTTTTATGTTTATTATTTAAGTTCGAATTTTCTTCCTTTTCAATGCTCACCGATCACCGCGGGGTTTTGGGGTTTTGGGGTTTTGGGGTTTTGGGG